CTCTCTCTCTCTCTCTCTCTCTCTCTCTCTCTCTCTCTCTCTCTAGCTGGTTCGAAAAAGGGAGCGGGAATGCATTTTCCCGCGGTAGTGGGAAGATGCATTCCCGTTTCGTTTTTCGAAACGGGATTCTCTCTCTCTCTCTCTCTCACGACTTCAACTGTTTTCCCGTTTCTTATTTTTCGTTTGTTGATTTTTTTTTCTTTTTTTTTTTGATCGTGTGTCGTCCCTACAGAAGCGTGGCCCGGCCTTGGCGCTACGACCGGGCCTTCCCTTGGCTGACCAGCCTGAGGCTGGGGCGCGTATACGGGAAGGCCCGCGGCCGAACAATGAGCGAGGTACTGGTGGTTTAAGAGTTGACAGTTCAACTTCCATAATCCAGGGAACGGAAACGAAGACGATCTATCCGCTGACAAGCTTAGCTGTGGCTGCCGCCACTGGCTTTCGTCAACACGAAAACGTTGAGTTGCCAAACTACGCCAAGCGATTCCACGCCGGGACCGCCGGCGTGGGCTAGGCCTGCCTTCGGCAGGCGGTGCTAGGGCCGAGTGTGTACGCACCAGCGCTAGCGCCGCTTCGCGCCGTCCCCCGTCGCTGCTATATTTCCGTGACACCTACATGCGAATAATTTTCACCAGCTTTTTTCCGGGTATAGATACAAGTTGGCGCCGGGACTCGGTTCCGATGCAATTTTCCCTTTTTTTGGGTTTCCCCCCCTACCCGCCCATTGGAGGCCTTGTCCCGGGCCTCCGAAAATTTAGGGAAGGCTCAATGGCGTTTCTTTTTGGCTTTTTCCTTCTCAAAGTAAGGCCTGGACCCCACTGGCCGGCGCCTGGAAAAAGTGGCCAGCCGCGAATTTCTGGCCAACTCGGGTGGAAAGCTTTTGGCACGATTCAGGGAGACTCCACCGTGAACAGGTGGCGGTAATTTGGAAACGGTCCGGCTTGCCGATTTAGGAAAACCGTGGAAGGTCCCCTCCCAAAAAGGAAAGTAGGAATTCCGCGGACGAACCAGCGGACACAGCAGGGTCGCGGGTGGGGAATTGGTGTGTGGCATCGCACACCGTTTGCGGCACTGCGGGACCGACCTCCGTACGGTCCCAGTGCGACGTCGCAGTAGGAGAGGGAACGGGAGGTACAACGACACTATTTTTTTCAGCCTGGCGTTGGGCCCGTTAGCGCATTTGCGAAAACCAGGAGGATGAAGAGGGCAGATCGTCATTGACGTCCAGCCATCGTGTGGTTGTGTGTTGTGCCCGTGTAGCGAGTCGTTCGTGACCTGCCATCACTCACGGGTTGCCGATCTGTGGGGGAGAGCTTCGGGATGGAGGGACAGCAGGTGGGCATAGCCGATCGCGACTTTCTGCTGTGACGATTACCATGGATGCTTCGGGAGGCGGGTTGTATGGTGAAGGGTGCGAGGATACGATGTTGATGGTGGCTTTTTTTATCATTCAGTGGATGAACAGACGCAGTGCAGCCGCCATGGCGGTCGTGGAGGCTGTTTCGGTGATGCCATTCCTGTCCCAAAACGTCTCCGCTGCGGTTGCACTACTCGCGGGGGGGATGTTGCATGGTTTTGCTCTAGGGGCTTTGGCGGCTGAGGAGGTGGGAAGGAGATTGGACCGTCGACACCGTCTGTGGGTGGTGGAGCGCAGTGGCGGTGTGTGGAAAGACCTCCAGCGAGTGGGGGTTGAGCACGATAAGGTGTTCACGCGGTTTTGCAGACTTCCACGCCCTCTTTTCTTGGAAGTTCTGGATCGTATCAGCCCGCATATCCAACGTTCGCCAACAAATTTCAGATTGTCGATACCTGCCGGTCAGAAGTTCGCGTGCGCGCTGATCAGGTGGGCGACCGGCGGTTATTACAGGCAGTCCTCCCATGGATTGAGCATGGTCCTGGCGAGTGCTTTGCGCAACAATGTGGAAGTAGCCGACGCCATCATCGCAGAGTACGGACATCTTTTGCGATTTCCGACAGGACAACGAATGGAGGACGTTCTTCACGGGTTCGAGAGGACAGGCTTCCCCGGCTGTGTAGGCACAATAGATTGCACTCATTTGTATATCGACAAGCCGAAGGGAGTGCGATCAGAGTGCTTTTACCACCATACTGGGGGCTTTTCTGTTGTGGCGCAGGTCGTGTGCAACCACGAGTGTCGGATCGTCAGTGTTTATGTCGGATGTCCGAGCTCTGTGCACAATTCCATAGCTTTACGTACGTCGCCATTGTTCGAGAATGCCACGGCGGGCAGAGGAGTGTTGGGTGAGGGAGGTGCGATACTGCACGATGGCAGACACATCGGCCGGTATTTGATAGGTGATCAAGGGTACCCGCTCCTCTCGTGCCTGATGACACCATTCGACTGCTTTGCTAAAACGGCGGCGGATCGGGCGTTCGATGAGAGTCACAGTGCAGCAAGGTCGTGCATCGAGCGGACATTCGGGCTTCTGAAAGCCGTGTGGAGGAACTTCATCCGATGACACATTTGCAACCTCGCGACCATCACGAAGGAGTTCATGGCCGTGTGTATTCTACACAACCTTATGATAGAGCGCAACGTCCAAATAGACCCGGCATTGATGGGAGATAGCAGCGACAGCGAGGGGGGGGATGGGGGTGACGGCAACCTTCGGCGACGACAGCGCCACCGTGGATTCGACCGCCATCTTCCAGACTTGAACATTGAGGCCGTCAATTTTGACGATCCCACCTATGGCGGTGACCTTGCAAAGCACGTTAGGGAGAGTTTGGTTGAGCACGTGCGTCACCACGTTGCAGTCCACGGCGCGCCGCCACCATGCCCGTGGCGGTAGCGAGGCCGTGTTCGATCGAAACGTTGTGTGAGAGTAGGCGGTGATAGTGGGCAGCGCTTTCAAATGCGGGGGGTTTACGAAAGGAGGTCATGGGCAGTAGAAGAGTGGGCGGGGGTGTACGTGGTGTGAGCGTCTTGCAGGCATGGTGCCTTTTTTGCTCCCCGGAGACGTTTGTTTCAATTGTTTTAAAAATGACCCGCATACATTTCTGTTCTTCGATGAGTTTTTTTTTTTTTTTTTTCCCCTCCGTCATTGAAATTCCCTTCTTATCCTTGCTCGTGAATACTGTCGCCCTGCCCTATCTAACCTCTCTCTCTCTCTCTCAATTGCAAAACGTTGTTGTTCAATTCCAAAACGAAAATAATAAATTGCAAGAACCTGTTATTCGATTGAAAACAATGTTGTTCAAATAAAAAACAATTTTATGCAACAACGATCACACCTTCTTCGCTGCCAAAAGCATCGTCACGCACATGCGACACAACACGGACTCGTTCAGTTGATTGCGATGGCGAAAAGAAAAAAATATAATGATGGGAATAACAGAAGTAATAGAAAATTGCAATCTGTGTGCTCGGTAATGCATGACGTTTTAACAGAAAACATTCACAGGAATTCCCATGTGAGCAAACACAAACATGACACGAAGAACCTGATTGATTTCATAGCATTGATACCGGGAAAACAGAAATGCTCATCCTCACGTTTTTTCGCAGACGTGACGCGAACAATTTGAATTAAAACCGCTACAGTGGACGGCGTCCGCGTGGGCATTGATTGCTTCCTGCACAGGAAGGATTCACCCGCGTGGACGACATCATCATCCTCATCATCCTCATCATCCTCATCCTCATCATCATCATCATCATCATCATCATCATCGTCATCGTCATCATCATCATCATCGTCATCGTCATCGTCATCGTCATCGTCATCATCATCATCATCATCATCATCATCATCGTCATCGTCATCATCATCATCATCCTCATCGTCATCGTCATCGTCATCGTCATCATCATCATCATCATCCTCATCGTCATCGTCATCGTCATCGTCATCGTCATCGTCATCATCATCATCATCACCATCATCATCATCACCATCATCATCATCAACATCATCATCATCGTCATCATCATCATCACCGTCATCGTCATCCTGACCTATGTCACCATCTACTGTGTCCTTATGACAATCATCGTCGTCGTCTTCGTCGTCATCGTCGTCATCATCATCATCATCATCATCATCATCATCATCATCATCATCATCATCATCATCATCGTCATCGTCATCATCATCATCATCATCATTATCATCATCATCATCATCGTATCTCCCCATGTTGATACGGCCTGCCAACCAATGGGGGTTCCAGGATGCAACGCCAAAATGGCACCGGATCCAGGCGCTCCGCAAAAACTTCAGCCAGGGTGGAGACGTAGAGCAGGACGATCTCCCCTTCAAGATCGACGGGATGGCCGCCTCCTTCGTTGGGCATCACTTCACCGACCTTCGTGACGTGGATGAAAACATGCCCGAGGAGATTCCCGAAGAACCCGAGGCCGACCTCCATTTTCATCGACGGGATCCCATCAACGTTCACCTCGTAGAAACGGAATGACCGCCTTGTGATGCCGTTCACGAAGTCGAAGTGCCGATGCCACGGGCCATCCCGTTCATGGCGCATTTCGTAAACCATCACCCCCCTGCCGTCGATTATGCCACGACAAAACGTGCGCACGTCCATCTCTCTCTCTCTCTCTCTCTCTCTCTCTCTCTCTCTCTCTCTCTCTCTCTCTCTCTCTCTCTCTCTCCTTTGACGGCGCCGCTGTCCACTGGACGTGTGTCTCCGTGCAATCGATCAACACTAGACACTGATCTTTGTCCCCGTCACGGCGATGACATCAATCAGATAGCCGGCACCCGCATGCACAACGCATCAACCACTACAGATGGCCACATGCGGGAGGCCCTGTCTTTATACTGGTTTCCACGGGGCGTTGTGTGCCCATTTCGTCAGCTACGGGTCCCTTTCAGTGCACGCACCGCCCGTGTCGAGGTTTGTTTTTTTTTGTTTGTTTGTTTGTTTGTTTGTTTGTTTGTTTTTTTCCTCACTGTTATCCCGCGCCCATTGGTCTTCTCGTCGGCCGAAAAGCCAACGGACGAGCACATAACCCCGTCGCTGGACAGTGAAAAATATATATATATACATATATACATATATCGTCATCACCGTGATGACGGGTCCGTTTCCCGCCCACCCCCCACTGCACCCCCTCCGTCCGACCCCCGGCGTGTGAGAACCCCCACCAGCAACTCGAGGACACTGTTACCACCGCGCATCGCTTCGGCCACGTCTCCTATCCGACTGGCAATTGCAGAGCCGGCGTTTGCGGTGGCTTTCGCCAGGCTACTGGCCGCTTTGTCGAGGCCATCGCAGTAAGACCGAGTGGAATCCTCCATGGCCCTGCTCAACGGCGTGGCAATGGTACTCGCCTCCTCCCTCCTCGCCTTCCCCTTCTCCGTTCGCCGGATCTTTGCAGCACTGTCCGACTCGTCAGCACACCTCTCCTCCGATCCACCGCTCGTCGATGCGCTTCCCCACCCCCCCATTAGGTTCTCTGAAGCCAATGTTTTGTCGCACTTCATCGACGGTCAATCTAGTTACCACTGCATAGCGTCCCACAATGCCTTCTCAAAGGAGAGTGGGAGATTCTTCTCCTTTCGCTCCTCCAACGACAGATCCCAATACGACGGCTGGCTTGATGCTTCACATTTCTCGACGATGAGCTTCGTTGTCTGCAGCATGTTCGACCATTTCTTCCTGCAGTCCTCAGCGCTCCTATGTCTGAACCCGGCCTCCTTCATCCTATCGTTCACCCTAACATACCGCTCCTTCCTCTGCTTGAAACGGTGTTGCCCGCGGGCATCTGCCATGAGGGCATCATCCTCACCCATCAACATCGCGAGCTTTATCCGCTCATCCAACGTCCACGGCACGTTCTGTTTCTTCGGAGCCGACGGACGAGCGTTCGCAGGCCGTCCGTTACCCGCCTCGCCCGCTCTACCACTGTTGGCCACATCGCTTTGATCGCGAACGGGATCGACACTTCCTTGCTCCGCAACGCCGTCATCGTCACCTGCTTCAGAACCGCCGGCACCGTCATCGTAAGGCGGGTCCATGCGCGTGTCAGGGGACATCACCCTCGGGTCCGGCCGGGTCCAGGCACTCTCTCCATCATCACCGACTACTGGAGACGGGGAAACCCTCGCCCTGAAAAACCGCCCCGGGCTCTGCCCACATTGTGGAGACCATGGCCTGCCACCCATGCCCATGGACTGTGCGGACAGTGACGGCATGCCGAAACCTGCACCGCCGGTCGGACCTTGTGCACACGACATTCCTCCATACACGTCGGAAGGCTCATGTCCGTGCACAACATGGTCACCAACACCATACGACTCCAGCTGGTGCAACTCCCCTGCCGGCGGACCTCCATGCACTGGCCCGACGTGCATGTGCTCACAGAACTACCCGCCGTATGCTCCACGGAACGCGGACGACTGCATGGGCGCCGTTGCACGGAAACACGCATGTCCAGCCGGCGAAGCACATTGGCGACCATCGTTGAAAAGCGGCATGCTCGTTGTCGCTGGGCCGCGCGACAGAGGCCGTGCGTGCAAATGCCCGTCCTGCATGTCACGACCACCGCCGAAAGCACCCTCACCTCCCACTGTCCGCCAATTGGAGTCCATCGCATGACTCCCTGGTTGAAGAAGGCCACAGCCTCCACGAAAGGCGATTTCTTTACCTGCCCCCCGATTACAGCTGGACTATCGAAGCCTGCACACCAGGATGGCGATGTCGGGGCAAATACCCTGACAAGGGTATTTACCGGGGGTTTTCAACGTTGGACGTCGTCCGACTTCTCGTTGAATTGAAGGATAAGACGACGTTGCCAAAAGTTTATTCAGACCTGACCTATGACCGACAGACAAAAAGTTTCGGACGTTAGTCTGAGCGCGTGTGGCGTTCAGGAGTAGCGGATGTGAATGGTAAGGCTTCGTTTTGTCGAAGCCGCAGGAATATGCGGACATGGGAACGATAAACCAGACCTATTCTACCTAAAGTAATGTCGCGCGGCTGTTCAGGGCCTGAATAGGCTAGAAAGAGGGATGCGCTGGCTATAGGACCGTGACACAGGGGGGGATAGGAAGAAAGTTTTTTTGGGCCATAGGGGTTGACACCGAGCCAGGGGGTTGCTAGGCCAATGCAAGGGTCGCGCGGCCTAACGAGGCAGGCAGGCAGGTAGGGCCTGCAGGACCACAGGCAGGCAGGCAGAGCCTGCAGGGCCACAGGCAGACGGGCTGGGTCTGCGCGGCCATAGGCAGGCGGAGCCTGCAAAGCCCCGACAGAGGGGATAACGGTTGGGCAAACTCTTCTTATAGAAGAGCAGCTCTTATCACTGTCGTGATAGGAGTAAGCCTGGTAGGTTATGGTACTGAACTCTCACCTGACAGAGACTGAGATTGAATCCAGCATGCCGCACCTCTGGGCTTGCTCCTTTTGGAGCAGCCCAACAATCTGGCGCGGCGTTTTCGGCCGTGCGATCGGTGAGATCACACGGCTGAAAACAGCCGCGCGCAGATTAGCCTGGCCCCTGCAAAAAAAAAAAAAAAAAAAAAAAAAAAAAAAGTTAAAAACTTTCGTCGAATCCCTCGGGATTCGAACTTAGGCCTGCATGACAGAACCGTGGCTTTCAGCCACGATGTGACCGTTGGCATAAGCCAACGGGTATAGTTAGGAAAAAAATAAAAAAATAAATAAAATAAAACTAACACTAACTAAAATAGGAGGCGCCATGTGGCGCTATGAGAAGTGTCTGGGGCATTTCAAGCCCCAGTGTACTGGACATTCGCCCGTGAAAATGGGCGACCGTTTTTCTCTCCTGCAGGGTAAGTTTTTGTTTTTTTTTCTCTCAGTTTTTTTGTTTTTAAATTTTCTTTAGATTTCTTCTTTTAGATTCACTTGAGATTTTCTTATTTTAATGTTGTTTTTAGATTCTTTTATTTCCCCCTCCCCCGTTTCTGTTCGTGAGTTCCCTAAGGCACCCGTTCGTTTCAACGAACGAGTTGCCTTCCCATCGGTAGGATGGGCAAAATCGGATGTATCTGCCGCGGTACGCGGCTACATCCAGGCATGGGTTTTGGGACCTTGTACTTGAGTTACGAGGGACTCTCCACACGCTTTAGGGGGCGGTCATTTCGCGACGAGTGGTCGCGACCACTAAGAGAGAGAGAGAGAGAGAGAGAGAGAGAGAGAGAGAGAGAGAGAGAGAGAGAGAGAGAGAGAGAGAGAGACAGAGAGAGAGAGAGAGAGAGGGGAGGGGAGCGACTTACCTGGCGGCTGTTGCGAAGTGCCTACGGCCCAGGTAAGCCTTCTTCTTTCTTTTCTTCTTTTCTTGTTTTGTTTTATTTTGTTTTTGATAATTTTCCTTCCTTTTTTTTATTTTTCCTGGGTGTTGTGGGGGCACCCATCCGACTTCGGGAACAGGCCACATCACTCAATTGCGCCCGAACCTGGCACCAATCGCGGCCGGATGCGGGCGCGTGTTGCAGCAAGGGGGGAAGGAGCCCCTGTTGAGTTGACTCTAGTTCGATTTCGTGAAGAGGAAAGGGGGAGAAAAAATGTAACGGCCACGAACGTGGCCGTGAGCGTAGAACAGGTGCAGCCCCTGGAAGCTTCTAGGGGCTGATCGGACTACGCCTATTTAGTTGAATAGGCAGTCATGAGATGGCTGTGTACAACCATTTCGAGTGGCACCTGGCCTGGGAAGCGGCCAGGTGCTTTTCGGAACTGATGGCCCTGGTTCCCCTAGGGGAAACTAAGGCACATGGCTCCTGGCCATTGATTTCGATCAAGGGCCAGGAGCACTGACAAATTTTGCCTGGCTGTGGTTAAAGCAGCTGCCCACAACCATCTGCTGGCTATAAAAGCCAACACTCCACCCAACAGCATCACACTTGTGGCAGTGCTGCTGGGGCATTCACTTGAGTGAATGCTGGCTGGCTGCTGCATGTTGCTGGAGAGGGGCGGTGCTGCCAGTGGAGCTGCTGAGGTGGAGAATGGAGGTCTGCAGTGAACGCGGGAGTGGAGGCTGCCATAGCCAACACTTCATTTGGTGTGAAGTGCAGGGAAGGTGCTGCCTGCACATCGCGCGGCGACAACTTATTTTGTTGAGGTGCAGGGGAAACTCTGCTCGTTTTGCATGGCGGCGACAGGTCTTCGGCAAGTGGTGCAGGGGAGACTTTGCCCGTTTTGCATGGGGGCGACAGGTCTTCGGCAAGCGGTGCAGAGGAGGCTCTGCCCGTTTTGCACGGCGCTAGCAGTGTATTTTTGCCAGTGCTGCGGGAACGCTGCCGAATTTCTTTTGGCGGCAGCTGTGCGTTCTGGGTAGTGGCGCGGAAGCACTGCCGAAATTTTGCGGCGGCTACACAGGTTTTAACGGCGGTAGTGGGGAAGAGCTGTCGGATTTTTGCAGCGGCGGCATGGATTTAACGGTAGTGGTGCGGAAGTGCTGCCATTTGTTTTGGCACGGCGGCAGCGACGTTGTCAGTGGGGAAGTGCTGCCATTTGTTTTGGCACGGCGGCAGCGACGTTGTCAGTGGGGGAGTGCTACCATTTTTTTTGGCTTGGTGGCGGCAACATTTTTTGTGGATTGTGCTGCCGGGATTGTCGAGGTTATTTTTTATATTGGCAGCACGTCAGCAACACTATTGTGAAGGAAGATTGATGCGGGGGTTGCGTCAGTGGAGACAATTTTGTGTGTGATCTGACGCTGGTGTTGCGGAGCAGCCGTGGTGTACCGGTTTCGACGGCGCGACAAGCGGGAGTCCCGGTCTTAAAGTTTTGTGCGCGGAGATGGTGGACTATTTTCTCATGATTCGGCGGTGGTATGGGCGTTGGTGCACAGTTGGGTATATGGGGCAGTGTTGTGTGGTCCAGTGACATGAGGAGGACGCGGAGTGAGTGCTCGTGACAGTGACTATTAGAGTTGCGGCGCTAGCGGTTTGCACCAGAAGGACATCCTTATTTTTGGGAGGCTTGCGGCACATGCAGTTTCAACCAGGACCACCTTTATTTTTTTAGCTGCGCGCAGCGCAAGAGGAATTTGAGAGTGGGACCATCTAGTGCAGTGGCGGTAACGTGGGACCGTTTGGGACCATTTTGGGACCAGGTGGGACTGATTTTGAAGGTCGGAACCGACATATTGGGGTGGCTATTATGAACGTACATGGTACCTGGAGAAGGCGTGGACTTGCGATCGGTTGAGAGTATCCTTGGTAAGGGAAGTACGGTTGGAATTGTTGGGACCACGTGGAACTCATTGTTGGGAACWCCCTCCTGGAGGGTTATCTCACTTGAGTCCTTCAGTGGAGGTGACTTTCGCTCATACGAGCACTTGGAGGGTGAGGTGGCCGTCGTTCAGTGGAACAACTACGAGCTGTGGAGTTGTGAGTTGCATATCTCCAGCTTCAACGGCGATTATTTTTTCAACTTCGGCCAGGAATACTACTCGGCTTTCTCGAGTGAGCCGGACCAAACTTCACTCAAGGTCAGTTGAATGACGCGGATTTCTCTTCACACCTGCGTGAACCCGCACCTTGCTTGACCTTGTTGTTTTGAATGTTCAAAAGAAAAGGCAAGGGAAAGTTGTGTGGATCATGCACGAGAATGRAAAAGTCTGACTTGAGTACGGAATCGTACTGTTTTCTTTTGAATTTGGGTTTTGCATGTTGTGCAGGTAGGTAGAAGGATGCTGGCTATGGAGATTGACTTTGCCTATTTGGGATGGAGAGAAGGATTGTCATGTTTCTATCTTTCACGTGTCTGCATGACAAGTGTACTCGAATTCCGAAATGAGTAATTTCAACAGGTGCCATGAAAGAAGACCTGTGAATATAAAGAAAAAACAGTCAATTTGACTTAGCATTTCAAGTTCCCAGGATTGACACATTTTATCTGGAATGATCTTCTATATCTATACCCGTCAAAGTAATTCTCATTCTCTATCTCATCCAGTTTCTTTTCGTYTAAGTTACCATGAACCGAGAAGGGATGAGAATATGAAAACTMTTTGCGGCGAACGCATTCTCTCTTCTCTAGGAAGCATCCAAGGCGGGGGTTCGTATGCTTTCGGAGCCGGCCCTGTCATCGACTTGGAGTGGACCTGACTCGTTGGGGGTGGTACTTTGCCGACTCGGTGGTGACGACCCAACCTATGAGATCCGAGTCTTCGGGCTCAGGCGAGGGGAAGGAGTATCCACAGACCATTTCCTAGAGGAAGAGGCATGCAACACGTCAAGCGATGCCCCTGATCAAGAATCACCCGCGAAGCAACTTGTCATCCAGGGAGATTGAGAA